GCATCACCAAGTGTCATTTTCTGCTGCTGGGACAGCAGCTGCCACAACTCTTTGTGGCTACCAGGACACTCTGTTCTTCATAACTACTGAGAGTATGTGAACAAATCCAGTCCCTGGCCAAATTCAAATTTTCAAAAGCAGCTTTACTAAAAATAATAAGCCTGTAAGATACAAGTGTCTGAGCCTAAGAGAACTATGGTGACAACCTTTAGCAAGCAAAAAATCCCACCTGAGGCTGCCTCCTGTGTAGGACAGTGCTGGAAGGAAAGGAACAAGAAAAGCTTTACCCGGGTGTGAGGCTTTATATTAGAGGGCAGGACTCCCCTAGTGGCCAGGCAGGTGCTGGTAGCCCTGTTCTAGCAGCCCGGCTAATCTGGAGGGTCAGTGGAGGGAGGCTGCCAGGGAGGTGAGTGCTGTGTGCTTCCACTTCCTTCCGCATTCACCCCCCTCTGCCCACACTGCATGGATTCTCTGGCATCCTCTTAGGTTGGCCACTATTTTCATGCATGATTCTTTAGCCAACCCTGCTGCTCAGTATGTTATTTCCTTAATACTTCTCCCTCCAACAAGAACACAAATATTACCCACCTGCTACTACTCTGGGCACCTAACACCTTCTACTCCCCCCCCCCAGCCCCCCGCCATTAGAGTAAGTTTAAAGTTGATGGAATTACTTTGTCCTCCCCAGGGCAGCCCACTGGGGATAGTGCCAACTTCCTACCATCGCTTCTGTCACCTGTGATTCATTCATTCAAATTTACCAAGCCATGCCTGTGCTAAGCACTGGAAAATCAAGATGTATTATCACTTCTCTGACGCAGAGACTGGCAACTCTAGTATATGCTGCTGTGGCCCCCTAATCCCAGATTCAATGTCACAGCATCGTGAGTTGAGGACTTTGGATCCCTTCTACAATGTCCCTGATAAGTGGTAGTCCAGACTCTGAACTCCTCCAACTACGAGTCCAGGACAGCTGCTCCCTCCTGCTACCATTTCCCTGTCATGTCCTCAGGAACTGTGACCAATCACGTACCTCTCACTAGTGATACTTTGGGACCCTTCTGGGGACAGGCTGTAACACCCATTAGACCAACTTCTTCAAATGTAGTCCTCAGACCCCTAGGGATCCCCAAGACCCTTTCAGGGGTCCATAAGTCAAAATTCTTTTCTTTTTTTTTTGGTAGAGAGGGGGTCTCGCTCTTGCTCAGACTGGTCTCGAACTCCTGACCTCAAGCAATCCTCCCACCTTGGCCTCCCAGAGTGCTAGGATTACAGGCGTGAGCCACCGTATCTGGCCAAAAATTATTTTCCTAATAATACGGAGACATTATTTTCCTTTTTCACAGTGTCAACATTTGTACTAACAGCACAAAAATATTAGGGGATAAAACTACCTCAGCACACATCAAGGTAGTGGCCCCAAACTGTACAAATAGTCATTATATTCTTCACTGCCATGCATTAGCAATTTAAGAAATAAATGCCAAATTTACATGTAAGAATGTCCTTGATGAAGTAGTAAAAACTTACTAATTTTATTAAATCTAAATACTTGAGTAAATTGTCTTTCCAATACTTGTCTGATAAACCGGCAAGTATGCATAAAGCACTTCCGCACATACCAAAGTATGATGGTTTTCTTGAGGAAAGCACTTAAGCCATTCTTTGAGTTGTGAGCTGAACTAGCTGCATGGTACACCACGTTTACTAGAAAGAATGACCAACGAACTGATTCTCAGACCTGGGTATCTGTCTGATCTTCTCACAAAAAGGAACAAAATGAGTCTGTCACTTCAGAAAAAAATCTGACAGTGTTTGTTGCAAATGATTCAATTTGAGCTTTGTATCATTGGCAAACAGTGAAAATTTGAATTTTGTAAAACATGTATTTGCCTCCATGTGCTTCAAAGCCTCCCAAAATTTAAAACTTAAAAGATTTTTCTGTTGAAACTGATTGTGATATTAAGGAATGTGGTTTTTAAAATAATGATAATGAAATGAATGTGTCAATATTTGAAAGATCTGCATAGCTCAGTGAATCAACACTTTCCAAATGACCAATGCTTGATGTTACAAAATTATGCGTGGTTAAAAGATCCAATCAAGGCGTGACACAGCGTTGGTGGCAAAGTGGTAAGCATAGCTGCCATCCAATCAAGGCGTGATACACACCAGTGGATTTTAATTTAACATAGTACAAAAAGGTCATTGATAATGGTTTCAGGTTCCACATTACAATTAACCCTTAAGAAACTACGATTTGTCCAGTTTTGATGTAGTATCAAAGAACAATATCCACAATTATCTGAAAAGGCTATAAAAGTAAGATTCCAACTATGTATATGTTTCGAGGCTGGATTTTCTCCATATATAGTACTTCAAACGAACCATATAGCAACAGATCAAATGCAGAAGCAGATTTTGAGAATCCAGCTGTCCCCTATTAAGTCAGACAGGAAAGAGACTTGCAGCCAGGCTTGGTGGTTCACTCCTGTAATCCCAGGGACTAAGGAGGCTGAGGCGGGAGGATCCCCTTGAGCCCAGGAACTGGAGGCTGCAGTAAGCTATGATCATACCATTGCACTCTAGCCTGGGTGATCCCATCTCTTATAAAAAGAAAGAAAAAAAAGATTTTCAAAGATGTAAAATAATTGTACATAAATAAGTAAATGTAAAAACTCTAATTTGGGGAGTGGAAATAGTCATTTTTTATTTATAACGTTATTTATGTTAACATGGTTAATCTGTAATGGGCTTATTTTATTTTTAACAAATTAATAAATATTTTAAAGCTTTCTCGGTTTCCATTTTAATATGGCAATTATTGCTAGATATAACCTACTTCAACAAAATCTCTTTGGGGTCTTCAATGATTTTTAAGAGTTGTAAGGCGTTCTAAGAACAGAAGGTTTGAGAATGGCTGCATAGATCGTGAGTTTCTCTAGATCCACACCATATTAGTATATTTGTGTACCCAGACATTGGTACATAAAAAACTCATTTGGTGGCCAGGCGTGGTGGCTCATGCTTGTAATCCTAGCACTCTGGGAGGCCGAGGTGGGAGGATCACTCGAGGTCAGGAATTCAAGACCAGCCTGAGCAAGAGTAAGACCCCGTCTCTACTAAAAAAAAAAAATAGAAAGAAATTAGCTGGACAACTAAAAATATACAGAAAAAATTAGCCAGGCACGGTGGCACATGCCTGTAGTCCCAGCTACTCAGGAGGCTGAGGCAGAAGGATTGCTTGAGCCCAGGAGTTTGAGGTTGCTGTGAGCTAGGCTGACGCCAGGGCACTCTGGCCCAGGCAACAGAGCGAGACTCTTGTTTCCAAAAACAAAAATATCATTTGGCAAATGTTTATCAAGTGCCAACTCTATGCCTGGTGCTGTGTTAGGCATTGGGGATTGATTGAAAATTGGAAACAACAGTCCCTCTTCTGGAGGACTCACAGACTAGTGGAAAGGACAACAGGTAAAAGGACAGTTACAACATGGGGGTAGAATGAGAGTGATAAGCGGCACCAAAAACTCGCGCCTATCAGTTGGAGATCGTGGCCCTGGAAGGCTTCCCAGAAAAGCCGACACTTGATCTGAGTCTTAAAGGCCACCAGGAAGCCTAGGGGAAGGGCATTTTAGGGAGAGGGAACAGAATGCATAAAATGGGGAAGCTCTGAGAAAAGTACAGCTATTTCCAGCTCCTGCCCGTAGCTAAGTATGAATGCAGCATGAAATACAAGTCTGAGCATTGGGGGTGAGGCTGGGAATGAAAGGAGATGAGGTTAGAGAGGTAGGGATGATCCAAAGCAAAGGCCCTTCTATACCATATTAAGAAGTGTGGATGTTTTCTCCTCAAAAGGAGCAAGGGAGTAGGGAGGGGTGGTGGAGTATTTTAGATTCTATTCGCATTAACTTTTTAAAAGGTCTTGGGCAGCAATGTCGTGGGACGATTTAATGAATGAATGAGTTGGGGAACCAGAAAGACCATAAAAGACCTAGACAGGAGGTAATATAAGCAGCTGCCCAAGGCAAGCCCAGACTCTGAGGAGGAATCTAATTTGTAGGAAGCAGAATCTCCAGGATTAAGTGGATGTGAGAAGTGAAGGGCGGGGAGCACTTGATAACCTCAGGGGTCTAGCATAGGCTACTGGGCGGATGAGGTGTCTTTCACGGAGTTTGGGTAACACTTCGAGGTCAGGTGAGGTCGCTCCCTGTGCAGTTAGGCAGATCTGAATGCATTTCCGCGCCCCCTTTCAGCGGCCCATGGTTCCCACAGGGCGCAGCACCCCAGCAAAATCCAGGCCTCCCGCCCGTCTGCTCCTGGGGGGCGAGGCGAACCGCTCCCTCCCGGGTTCCTCCGCCCCGTCTCTCCTCCCCTTCCCCCTCCTCCGGAGCGGCTCTCCACTTCCTCTCCCCCCACCCCACCCCAAGGGAAAACGAAAACAAACAGCCTCCCGCCCGCGCCTCTCACTTCCCGACCCGAGACCGGGCTCTGGGAGCTGGTGTTTGCGGCCTCGGTCAGAGGGGATCTCACCCCGGGCTCCCGACGCCGCGCCGCTCAGTAACTCTCCCCCTCGCCCTCTGCCTTCCCCGCCCCAGCCCGGCCCCGCCTCCCCCGGAGAAACATCCCAAAAAAGGGCAGAAAAGAAAATTTGGCGTAAAGTTGGCCCACTGGGGAAGAGAGGAGAGTCCGCTGGGAGAAGGGGAGGAGAAGGGAGGG